CATTCCCCCAGTGCGTAGAGAAGCCATACAGGAGTATGTTTGTAATTACCGAGGCACACGATGAGCCGAGGATGACCCCCGCTCCGTGTCTTGAGTGCCGCCGACACATACGGAGTGATGGACGGATGTCTGCCGCGGTTGCAGCGCTTCTGGGTCCAATTAACGGTGATCACTCGCTCAGTCCCGATCGATAGCCGCCATTCCCGGCAAGCCCCGCAGTCCGTAATAAAGACTGTCGTGTGACGTCTGCATGCACATTTCTTGCGTCTGTTAATGCCTATCAGTAACCACCCGGGTCTGTACAGGACTCCTTGCGAGAGAATAATCTATAATGTGTACGTTGTGCTTATATTCGTGTACAGGGGAGATATCCAGTCGTTGCTGCTTTATTGATCGTGAACAGAAGTGTTTCTCTGTGACGAGAGGCAAATGGAATCTCGTCAAGTTTGCCCATTTGTCGAAGGTGACCTGATGGCCTCCTCAAACCACTGCCGTCTGACGATCCTGAAAGGCCGCAATCCGCTCAGCACTTGCGCACGGGCCGATTTAATCGCTCTGCCTCCATAATGGACATCCTATTCTTGGTTCTTTCGGTAAAGTCGCATAGAAGGGAAATTATAAAATAATAAAAATAAAACATAATAAAATGAAATTCTCACGACTTTTCGGCCACAGCGCAAGCAGCCGTCCTCAGGTGAAGAAACAGAGCTGTCGGAAAGACAGAAACAGAGCTGTCTTCACCTGAGGACGGCTGCTTGTGGTGTGGCCGAAACGTCGTGAGAATTTCATTTTATTATGTTTTATTTTTATTATTTCCCTTCTACGTGACTTTACCGAAAGAACCAAGAATATGAATCCCTGCAGTCACGAAAGCTTTAAATCGAAATGGAAATCCTCTCGGGGGTGTTTCTTGCTTTGGCGATTATTCTTGACCATCTGCCAAAGCCCTGCTCGCTTTTCTTAAGGGATGTCCAGAGCATATTCAGAGACCCCTTGCCACCAGTGAACTGAACCTAGTAGTTACTGGAGTCATATGCAGCGAGACAACCATTTCCAATGTTGCTTCTCACCAAACGGTGGTGGCCGCGCTGCTCGTGGCCGGCAACCCAGCACAGTGCAGGCAGCAGCGAGGGTCAGTGGATCACCGCACAAATGTCGAGGAATTTCCTTCCAGTGGGTAGTCAAAGAGGTGCCATACCCCGGCTAGCCAGAATGAGGCGGCGCAGCAATGTGTGGACTCATTTCCACGTGTTCCTTCGTTATGGGATATAATGTTGTCACCTCGCACATGTGGGTTTTATCTGGGTGCCCCAGTTTCCTCCAATATCTGTAAACACTCATTCATTGACTGAAAACATCTTAATTCATGGAGGACCGCAGAGCTTAGGAAATTGTTGGCCTTGGCTCACTGCCTGGCTTCTCCCTTCTTTTTTGTCTGGTTCCTTACCAAATGTGAAATACGTTTTGCTTGAATGGTGCCGCTGGTATGTAAAAACTAAACTGATTGTACACCCCGTGTTACGATATCGCGAACTAGACACGGCCGCAATCCCACAGCAAATACAACAATAACAACCGCCATTCGCCACTAAGTGGCGGTGACGTCACCAAGGCACTTGTGCCAGGCTATTTGCACGCTGAGGCCACGTGAAGTGTCGAACACCCGCTGGCAGGAGGTCACGGGGCAGACTAAGGTGCCATGGGTCGACTGACTGAGATGAATGGCCGATGCACCACCTGTGCCCCCTACTGTGCCAACTTGCTGTGCTTGAGCCACCCGGCACTCCGATCATTGTTGAGATCGTCGCTCCTCTGCCCTCCATTTTTGTTGGAGGGGGATTGCCTCCAACTGCCCAGTAGCGTCCTTCATGAGCCTGCTCCACAGAGGCCGATCTTGACACAGCTGGTACCAGTCATCGGCAAGTCTACTCAGCTCCACATTCTCTTGTATCACATCACTCCATCTCTTCTCTAGCCCATGCCGTGCCCGTTTAGGCCTCCTCTATCTGGCCGAAAAAAAGCTGTCTAGGCATGCGGTGGCTGGGCGTACGGGCGACATGACCCAGCCAACACAGCCTTGCCTGCCGGAGGAGCACACCGATGGGACCCGGTCCAGATCTTTCAAGGATTTTTGAGCTCACACAATCCAGCCTGGTTAAACCCTGGATGGATCGTAGGCAGGCCAGCCTAAATGTTTCCAACCGGCAAAGATGTTCCACTAGGGGGGCCTACGTTTTGCAAGCATAGAGAAGGGACCACGTAGGTTCCACACAGAATTATGCAACCGATAAAAAGATAAAGCCGCTCGACTGATTCGGAGTAAGACCTCTGCTAGTAATGAGCACACTGCCCAGGTATGGGAAACTCTCCAATCTCTCCACAACTGCCACAGCACCAATTGGGAGATGTGGGGGTGGAGTGTCTGGTGGTACAAAATACCCAGGCAGGTGCTTAGTTTTGGTGAGGCTGATGGTAAGACCCCACTTCTAAGTAGCATGCTCCAGGTTCATCAGCAGTGCCTCCAACTCCTCCTCTGAGTGAGCAGCAATTACCAGATCATCGGCAAACATAACATGGTTGACCAATAGCGAGCCATCCCTTGATCGCACCCGAGCATCGATCAGCCTCCCATTGTATCTGTACCAGATAGAAATTCCTTTGGTACAGCCATTGAAGGCTTTATGACCTACATGGCTGAAATAGATGTTAAATAATGTTGGGAGCCAGAGGACATCCCTGTCGCACCCCAATTTGAACAGGGAATGGCTCCGACTCCCGGCCACGTAGTTTTTACCCGGGCCCGCTCACCATCATGAAGGTTCTTAATCATCGTGAGCAGAGAGTCAGGAACTCCGAAAGCACGAAGAACAACCCAGAGCCCAGGCCTACTGATGGCATCATAGGCCTTGACCAGGTCAATAAAGTAGAGATGTAGGTCTTGTTGGAATTCCCTACACCTCTGCTGTAGCAGACGGACAGAAAATATGGCATCTGTGCAGGACCGCCCTTTCCTGAAACCACAATGGGGCTCCGCAAGCCTTTCCTCAGCTTGCCTGGCAAGGCGATGTTGAATAATCCTTGCCAGGACCTTTCCCGGCACACTGAGGAGTGAGATGCCCCTGTAGTTGTTAGTCTGTGCGGTCCTCCAGACTGTTATTATGATGTCATGTAGGGTAGTCTGTGCACAAACACCACCCTCCCTCAGCATTTCGCTTAGCAGATCGTCTCTGCCCAGTGTCTTTCCTGGTCTCAGACTCTGGATTGCCTTCAATACTTCCTCAAACACGTGTACACACACACACGGTCGCGATTGGCATTGCAAGCGTGGCGGTGGTGGTAAGAAAGCGTGGACATCAGACGAACAATCAGAATGAAGTCAATCCATTGTGAACGTGTTGAATAAAAGACATTGGCTTTGGCAATAATACTGATGGCACTAAGTACCCCCCCGCACCCATTCCACTCAGCGCCTGGGGCTGGGGGCTGAGCAGCCCCATTCAGTGGCCATCTCCTTGCTTTAGGAGGTCCTGGCTGAGTGAGATTTCTCTGCGCGTATTGGCACCGCGTTCGCGAGGATCGCAGGGGGTGTTCGGAGACATCTGTTGGTGATTTGCCAGTGCGGCTTGGGCGCGATCGGTGTGGCACAACACGCGCGGTATGTTTAAACATTGCATTGGGGATTTGTTTCTGTATTCACCAAATGGAAATCGTGCCGTGTTTTAAATGCGGTCGTTTAGTAATGTCTCTGATTAATGATATCCGTTATAAATACATTCTCCCTTCAGTGAATACTGTAGTCGCAGGGAACACCGTAGTATCTATCCTGGCTATTTTCCCCGCTCGGTAAGTCCTCCTCTGTCAGCGGCGTGACAGTTGTGTGAAAGTGCGAGTGGACGGTACTTGATTTGGATCCACATCCATCTCGTTCACTCGTGGACGTTTGACCGTCTGCGGTACTTCTCGTTCTCTCGTAAGGTTTTTGAAGAGCGACATCCAATGCACATAGTGCTTGTGGGTTTTGAGAAGATGATGTCTGCAGTCGCCAGATGGATTCCATTTGCACCGAGCGTACGTGTGACTGGCTGTGTGACGGGCGGCGGATCACGCTTCGCTGCAGTCACTATTAGACTCAGGTAGACTCACACAGCGACCCACAGACGAACATAGATACCCTCAGACTTGTACAACAAACCATACACCTCCCGTGTGTGTAGCTCGAGCGCAGTGGCTCGTTCAGTGCCGAGTCTGTGAGCTGGGAAGGAGGAAGCCAGCTTCCGCCTCTGTAGACTCTTCGGTGCCGTGCCTTGTTGGGGGAAATTATGCTGAGGGTACGTGGCCCGAGCCAAGCGTGGAGGGGAATGGGGGATGCGAGCTGCGGCCACGTCAGTGTGGCGCATCTTGAGAGCACCGCCGGCCGTACAACCAGACTTGCCCGGCGTCTGCAGACCTCTCCCATGGCCCGTGCAATCATTCACTTGGCTTTGCCAAATGGCAGTTGTCCAGAGGACAATCTAGCAGCCAGTACCCCAATGCCTCTGGAATAGGCTCGTTTGAGTCATTTGAATATGATCTAATCATAATGCTGCAATGTAATTTTCCAAAAAAAAGTTATACATCAAGGAGTTCCCAGCCGTGTGGTTAGGATTCACTCATCCCTGCTGCTTACCTGGGTTCACTGTCACCGTCACCACCACCCCCACCTCTTGAGGAGAGTGGCAGCTCCCACTACTCTATCCCAAACGAGGGGGGTAATAGGTCCATGATGAGTCACAGGGTGCAGAATGAAATCCCACAAAATTACATGTAAGTTTAGTCCGATAGCCTGTATGTCCTGCTCCTTTATATCATGACTGTGTGTGGGTGAGGTTTGGGACTGTGTGTGTGAGGGTTAAGACTGTGTGTGTGAGGGTTAAGACTGTGTGGAGGTGACCGTGTGGAGGTTGTGCTGACTGTGAGCCTTTGAGTGACCACGTGTGCCGCTTTGCTTGCTGCCTCTGCAGGCCTTGCTGTGCTGCGCCTCGCACTGCCACTTTGGGGCCTCGTGACTGCCTCCCAATCGATGGCCACCACTGCCGCCCACAGACGTCCGCCACAAGAGTAAGCGCACGTCCTCACCCCACTGTCTCTCTCCCTTGCCTCTGAGTGTTGGAGAGCCAAGCCACACCGGTGTGCTGTACTAGTAATGAATTGGCATGTTCTGTTTACTTTAAAAACCTTACTAATAGGTTGTGTCGGGTGGTGGCGGGTTTAATGACACATTTATATATTTATGTGATCTAACCCAAAAAAACCTGTATTATGGATGATATTGGTCGCGAAAGCCTACGTGTGTAAAGGAGTGTTCAGGAACATGACTTATTCACTTGAGTGGAATCAAACGACCTTCGCAAATTGCAAGGACGCGCAGCGATACACAGCGATACACAGCGATACACAGCGATACACAGAAACACGTGGTGACACACAGTGACATACATGAATACACTGACACACAAGGGCACACAGGAATACACAGGGACACAAAGGGACACAATGAAGCTTATTTTCCACATTTATGTTGGCACCCACATCTTGTTGTGAATGAGAATGTAACGGAGCATTGCCGATTGCTTAGAATCTCAAGATGATCATCTCAAATGCTTCGCGTTGTCGTCAGCACTTGTAGAGGATTAGGGCATGCACTGTGAGCGTTGAGGTTGGCACTTGGCATAGCGCACGTGTGGCTGGCGAAGGCAGCCGGGTGGCTCTGAGGTTGGAGCGTGGAGCTGGCACCGCTGAGACCCTGGGTTCCGAACCAGGTTTTCAGCCACCGCCTGTGATTATACCGGGTCCTCAAGTGCAGTGAGTTGATGGTCTCGGCCCGGTCACCAATTCTGAATAACAACCATCATGTCGGTTTGACGGTCATGCAATGAATGTGACTGGGTCGGCAGGGCGGGCGGGGAAAGTGCTGCCCCCTACTGTGTGGACCAAAGGTCATTTGTTTAGAACTGCTTTTTGTGTTTAGTTTGTGGTCTTTCCCGGTCGCCAACCGATTAGCATGGTTGGCTAGGTACGGTGCGAAAGTAGTTCAACATACATGAATACATACTTGAAGGGATCTCGGAGATAGCTGCGTGTTATCCGCTTCTGTGTGAGACAAGATGCATTGCTCTGCAAAAAGTCCGAGTGACGTGACGGCACAATCCGGGCAAAACTATTGAAAAAGCAAAACTTATAAAAGGTCTGGGGCGGCTCGGAGTGCTTTTGTTTCCCGAGTCCCCGTGTCGTAGTGTCATCACACTGTCAAGTGCTCGATTTAGGCTCCGTCGACCTGTGGGGAGGCCTAGGTCAGCCTTTGGACGTCTCCTGTTCCCACTGGCGTAATGCACGAGAGAACGATCGCGCGGCAAGTGCCAATCGTTGTCCCACTGTTCCCCACGGCTCACGGCGGTGCTGCCGCGGCCGGGCACACTTTCCACCCACGCGCCCTCGCCGGAGTCTCTGCCGATGGCGCATGGTCAGAGAGGACTCTCGCCCACCCCCGCCCTCCCCGTGCTGCCCCCAGCTCGGCTTTCGGTGCCCCCCCGCCGTCGCAGCCATGACACGGCCCCGGCGCGTGACAACACGGGGATCGGTTACGCCATGCGGCGCTGCTCGACGAGAAGCCTCCGCGGAGCTAACGCCGCTCGGAGAAGGCCGATGATGCGGGGCCGTCGCCCGCCACTTGCCCCGCAGCGCGCTGTGCCACGTGGCAGCAGATGGCATTCAAACAGCACCGTGGTTCACTCCACGTTGTTTATGGTGCCACGCATCATTTGCTGTGCATACCGGCTTCGGAAATGACATGAGTCCTTTTTTTGGCGCGAGCCCCGGTGGCCTCACTGGGGCTCTTGGGGACTATTTTTCAAACAGCGTCTTAAATTGCGATATTTGGCCAGATCGTGAATGGGTGTTGTTTTTGCTGTTGCTGTATGTGGGAATAAACCAGAGAACTGAGAGAAAATTCATACGGGGACCAGGTGCGATCTGTCAAACCTCCACTGGGGGATAAAATAGAAGGATTTCTTCAACCCGCTGGCAAGCATGGTGAAGTATGGCCAAACAATCCCCATGATGAACATGGCATGAAGAAGCATTCATCCAGTTACAGTTTGAAAACAAATCTTAACATCATCACAACAGAGCACTTGACGGTGACATCGTCCACACGTGCGATGTGCACCTTGTGAAGCATCATTAAGTCTCACGACTCTTTTCCAGAAAGGTTTTGCTGCATTGAGATGTTTGGTCGGTTCCAGTGATGAGAGTTTGGCTTCTCATGGGAGGAGAACGTGGGTGGGGGGGGGGAGACCGGAGAACCCAGATAAAACCCCCCATGCATTGGAAGGGGAGACATGCGAAGGTGCGCACAAGAATCTACGGCTGTGCTGCCCTCTCCTGACCACCTCGCAGCCCAACCGCATGGCTCCTGCTGCTCTCGAGCAGGCTCAGCCTGGCTGTTAACGTTAACTCTCAATGTCTTCTATCCGGGGTGGGAGGGGAGTGGATAAACGTCAACCCCGCCCCCCTATTGTGAGTGCCAGCTAAAAGAGCAGTCCCAGAGATTCAAAAAGTAAAGCGAGGAAAATCCCAGCATCCTACTCTCACCGGATCTCACCCTGCATGCAAGGATCTGTCTGCAGTGCTAGAGTGCGTTTGTGACAAATCTAATTTTGGTATGGCATGGACACTCCTCACATTGAGTTTGTGAGTTCAATTCCTGGCCATAGTAGATTCGTCTTCATCGGAAGGCATCGGGAAAAAATTGTCCTTTGGACGGCATAATTTTATGGATAAGATGAGCGTGGCATTGTCGGTGCTGGTGTCACTCTGGCACGCGTTTGGCGGCATCGGAAGCTGATTCTCGTCATGCTCGTGAATCTCGGCCCCTGCTTAAGTCATGCTTAACGTAGGCGCAGCTTTCAGTGGCCTTCATGCGATGTCTGCGCAGCGTCATCTCTGCGTCAATTGCTGTGATAGGCGGGTGTCCACGACGCTCCCCCGCCCACGGTGTGCATTCGCGTTCAGAGATGCTGCGAAGGGATCTGTGCATCAGGTGGATTGATGATCCAGCACTCCGCTCACCACCTCCTTATAATTATTCTATCACTACTACCATGGCTCTTGTTCCGGTGAACTTTACTCCAACCACGTGGAGGACTCAATCTGCCAGACACTCACCGTTTCGTCTCATTCAGCACATGGCATTCTACCACCATGCTGCGGGTCACATCAACACACTCACTCACTAAAATCCACTCATTCATTCATTCACCCACCCACTCACACACCCACTCACCACACTGCAGGTCACCCCAATTCTCTCTCTCCTTGTTCGCTTGCACTGCTCCACTTGGGAATTCCCTCCTCCCATCATCTTATTTGCCCAAGCTCTCACAGTAATAACCTTTCTCAATTTAAGAAACGCTTTACACTAGTATTCATTTTGACTTCGATCATGTGTTGTCACTGGCCACTTGATGTTTTGGGCCTTTGTGCTCAACAACCCAACACGCGACGATCCCCCGGCTTGGCACTGCGCGTTTCCATATGACGAGATGGGCCGTGTGTGCAGAGTACCTGGGTCCTAACGTGAGCCCAGGCTGGCTCAGAACGAGCTGCGGCTGGCTCGGGGTGAGCCCTGTTGCATAATTTACCAAGTTGTGGCAGCACGCTGCCCCATAGTATTTGTAACAGTAGCGGACTGTATTGTTAAATACATTGTTTGTAACAATTAGAATCTTATTGGTAATGCTCACAATATTTTGCACGATCATAAAATAAACAAAACTGTGAGTCGTGAAACGCAGGCCCAGAACATCAAGGGGCCAGTAACAAACAGCGCTATCAAGGTTGTAATGGATAAGAGTTTACGTGTTTCAATGAAATGTATTTTGTAAGTGTGGATTGTGCGCTTAAAATACTGCAGAATCACCTATTTGTGAGAGCACCGACCTCCCAACACGCGCTCTGAGTTGCTCTCGCCACCTCTTCACAGCTCTGTTGCTTCTGCCTCTTTTCGTCGGTCACGGCCAATGCGTGAAGTGTTGGCATTTTCTGAAGTCTTTGCACTCGCAAAGCGTCGTGAATTTCTCTGTGGAAACGTGGAGGCGGCGCTAAAGAGGGGGGGACGTTTTCTCTGAAAGGTCTTACAGAAAATCTCCCAATGCTTCGGAGTGGGGCAGTGGTGCAATGGCACAGTGGCGGTGCAGTGGTGGTAGTGTCGGTGCAGCTGCCCAGTGACACGTTCACGCAGTGGCATGGGGGTGGTGGAGTTGTATGGTGGAATGGTGGCGGTGTGGCACGATGGCACGGTAGCGTGGTGTCACACGAGAGTGGCAGCCACCATGAGGTGTCGATGGTCCAATAGTGCGGCATTTCCTCGGCTCATGCTGGGGCTCCCCTCTCCTCGAGTCGCACACGTGTTGTGTGTGTGGTTGTGCGTGTCACGCTGTAGTGGCACGTGGCGCCGTTGCGAAAGCTGTCGAGGAGGGCGAGTGTGTTGAGCGGTGTCACACGCAGTGCCGGAGTGAAGCTGGAGTGATGCTGCTGTGGGTCCCCGTGCGTGTGTTCCGTGTCGTCACCGTGGGGAGCCCCATGGGGGAGCGCACGCTGCCGCGTGACTTGGGGCTCCCTCGATGCCGGCACGGAAAAATACATTCTGCTGCTCTCCATCCCCGCGTGTGGAAGTCCGCGACGAACTCCAAACATTGCACTTCCATCCAGCCCTTTTGGTCATCTCTGTATATATAAAAGGGAAATTTGTGATTATGTGTCTGTTCAAAATGTTTAGCATACTTCCCGACATGCAACAAACTTGACATTTGGCATGTGGGTAGCTTCCAGACTGTACACAATGCAAAAAGTATAAAAATAGACTTTTGTATTTTGGGCAGGGGGGGGGGGGAAATGACCATGAAGTGTGTGGCGTCAACCCGCATACAGGACTGGCGAGAATCGAAAGCTGGTGAGCGTTTGTGGTATCGATTAAACGGGAATAGGCCAATTCTAAGGAAATCTCCAACCTTCGATTCCTTTGTGCGATTTAAAGAATCGAATCTTGGCGCGCGAGTGTA